CACTGGAACAGGCTGCCCAGGGAGGTTGTGCAGTCTCCTTCTCTGGAGATATTCAAGACCCCCCCTGGACGAGGCCCTGTGCAGCCTGCTGTAGGTGACCCTGCTTCGGCAGGGGGGTTTGACTAAAAGATCCACAGAGGTCCCTTCCAAACCATTCTGTGATTCTGTGAGCTTCCAGAGGCCCTGCAGATCTGTTAATTGCCTGAAAATTGTTTTGCTGCTGGTAAACCGTCACCGAAAGGCCAAAACGTTCCATTGTTATTTCTGTTCTTCAGAGTTTGGCAAAGTATTGCACAGGCAGTGTTAAAAACATGAAGGACTACAGCAAAATTGAGCTCTTGCTGGGTGTTACTCCTTTGTCTCCAAGAATTAGAGTACTGGCAACTCTTTCATCCTAAGAAGTAGAAACTTAGAAATGGAACCTTTGGGAATAGTAAAAGTTATTTAAAATAAATTACAGTGGTGTGCCAACCGAACAGCACAATTCCACTGAATGCATTTGTTGTACACAGTTCAACAGCTAATCACTCAGCTTTCCAACCTGCTCAGCTCTTGCGGTGTTGCTGGGTAAATTCACGTCATTTTGGACGGACAGGGGCACTTGTGCACGCAAAGCTGCTCACACTGCAGCAGCCCCAGAGTCTCCGTCCCAGGCAGAAAATAACCATATGCTCGTACACTAAAATAACAAGAACTGAATTAGCAAAGCCTCCTGTTCTTATGGATCAAAGGGCCTCACACATACACTGAATTTGCGTACAGCTTCACATTACAACAAAATTGATACAAAGTGCATGCTGCCGCTGAGCGGGCTGCTCACGCTTCCCCTTTCTTCCTCCTCCTCTCAGCCCAGGCTGCACATCTTCACTGCGTTGGACAAGCATCACGGAATGCACGGTTCAATTTGCTGATCTGCCGGGGCAGTACACTATTCATAAACATGAAGAAAGTCTTCTGTTGGGTAACAGGGCTGACTGGGTTCATTACATGGCTGAATAAATCATCATATGCAGCACACAGAGAGGGAGGGAATCTGTATCTGGAGATGACGAGGAAGGCTGAGAGCACTTCTGCACACAGCAGCCTGCAGGCATGCCAAATTAGGCTTAGCACTAAACCGCATTTTTACGTTACTTAAACGAGCTCAGACATTCAAGGGATGCGTTCCCTTGAAACTCCATGCAGCCTGATTTCTGCATGGTCAGCCTTCATCTTTCAAGTGTTCACCTGCATGTTTGCAACTGTTTCATTAATATGATTTTTAAAAGCTTGTAAAAAAAGAACAAAAATCGCAATTTCACAAAGCAGCACCAGTTTACTGTACAGCAACCCATAAGAAGATGGTACTTCAAAGTTATCAGCAAAGAGTAAGTAGATACTGTAGATGCCTTCATCACTGGGTGACAACTTGACTCCTGTCCCTGGGTCCCCACCATGCCTTCTCCTGCGCTGGCTCCAGCCCGGGGAGCCAGAGGCTGGGAGTCAGCCTTCAGGAGCCATGCCTCCTAGCTCCATCCCTTTCAGGGCCCAGAATTGTTTGTATTTAAACCCATTTTACAGGTCAGTTAACTCTGCTGAGTTTACTAGCCACTTAGTACAGGTGTAAATAAACAAGCAAGAGGCACACCAGCAGCTAACCTGGCCCATGTGCACCACGCAGGACAGCTTACTCACCGAGCACAGTAACCTATTAACAGAAGCATTTCCATGGAGAATTTCACATCATTTAGTCACAGAGCAGGCAGCTGAAAAGGTTTACTAGAGTGTGCCAGTCTTTCTGTCCCCAAGCTAGGACAAGCTGCCCCCAAGCAAATCCCAAGACCTATCTGTCTAACCTGCTCTTAACAGCTCCCAGGGAGAGAGAGCACTAACAAAAGGATCAACATTTCACCAGTTTTTCCGCTTACACAACTTGTCTGCCCTCGTACATTCTCAGTATCTACTTACTACACAAGCAGTGATTATCTAATCATTGTTGACCAAGAATTTTTATGCAATTGTTAATTAATCTCACTTCGGCAGGCTGCGAGGCAAACTGCTTTATGTGGGGAGGAGTGAGCGGAAGAAGAGGAGAACCATAGTCCACAGCACGTCTGAGCTGTGAAAGTGTTCTGTGTTTGTTGAGCATGCTCGGGTTCAAGTCGGTTTTAATGAAGGAAAGCATTTGCATTTTAGAAGTGGATTTTCAAAAGCTCCCTGCACCAGCGTCCGCCGGCTCCCGCAGAAAGCTCCGGCGAAGCCTCCCTCCAGCAACAGCAGCGCGCGCTTTTGGGAACGGCCGCCTGCACGCAGAGCAAACAATACCGCCTGGATTCTGTGGCTCTGCGCAGTATGCTCAGGTTGCACATGTTTGGCTCGCTGCCTCTGTTCTCCCCATCCATCATTTATAGGGAGCTGAGACGGAACAGAAGAGCAGACAACTGAAACGTGGCTGGCTTGCGGCTCCCTCCTCTCATCGCCAGGCAGTTGCGTGGCTCCAGCTCCGCTGCTTCGCAAACTGATTAACCTGACATCCCTGCGTGCACATGAGTTTATTAGCTTCAGTGGTTTAGTCAGTCTCGAGCTCTCCTCTGCTGCCAAAGCAAAGGAAAGATCCTCAGACCATGCAGTTTCATATGGCTTTGGGTGGGGGAGAGGGGGAGAGCGTCCTGTGGCCAACACACAAACTCAGAGTGAGGAGACCAGAGCTCCCTCCACGCTTTGCCACCAGCCCCTCGGCGTCATCTTGGGCATTTACTCCTGCTTCTGTCACGGCTTCTGCACATTATCCCAGCTTTTGCCTAGACAAAGCTGTCTCATACAATACTACTACTGGCAGCGTGACGGGCTACTTCTGATGTCAGTCTAAAATGCTGAGGACCCCACCGAGGATGCTATGTTCTCACAGGGACGTACTCCCAACACCCGCGTTCCACCAGTAAGACAACACAGAGCAAACCTAAGTCATGGCAAGGCCACAACGGTCAGACCTAACTGCTGGTTTTGGGGGCACGTCACAAACACCTGCGAACACTTGTAGGTTTGGTCAGATTTCAGCAAGGGTTAAAAATCACTGGAGCTGTGCCAATCACAGCTAGCTGAAGGTCTGGCTCAATACAACTTCATAAACATGCAAAATAACAGTATTATCTCTGAATCTCATTAAGGTTCTAGGAAACAACATACACTTTGGTTCACAAAATAATCTGAGCTCTTCCTACAGGAAAGAAAGCAAGTGCAGATGTTCCTGTGAGGAACCTGTGAAGACCAAGGACCTCCCGGAGCATTTCTCTTCTCATGCTTCAGGCCCAGGCAGTTCCACACCGTCCTTGCTGATGGATGTCTAAGTGCCAGAAGAGACCCCTACAATAGTTCCAAAGCACCTGCAGGGAAAGCACCTCTCCTCTCCTGCCTCCCTCCCCAAGCAGAAGTGGGAAACAGGTTTAGGACGCAATTACCACTG